TTCAATATAAATGAATGTCAAACATACCAAATGTAACTCTTATTGCTATTATATATAGAAGTTTTTGAACCATTTGAACTATATTCAATAGAAGGTTTTCTAGATGAAAATGCATTAACAATGATAAGTATTGCAATTATTACAAGAGTTAAACATGCAAAAGTCACCATTGTGATGAAGGCTTCATTTGTCATGACTGGCCAAATACTTTTGCCATTAACTGACTTTGACAAAAGGGAAGACAATGTTAGTGTTTGAGATGGTGTGGATGATGCTGATGCTAAAGATGATATGGATGTTATGGATGATAAAGCCGTTAAAGATGCTGAAGTTGTTGTTGGGGATGATGTTGAAACTGTGGATGCTGATGATGTAGTTGTTAAAGATGATATAGAAATTGTAGCTACTGTAGACAATGTTGTTGTTTTAGATGCTGCGGATGATGTTGATACCATTGATGTTGTGGATACTTTAAGAGTTGTTGATGCTGTTGATGAGAATGTTGGAGCTGAAGTGGATGCTGTTGGAGTTGAAGATGCACGGGATGAAGTAGATGATATGGATGCTAAATATGCTGAAGTTGTAGGGAATGATGCATATGTGACAGATTCTGAGGATGATGTGGTAGTTGTAGATACTATGGCAATTGTGGGTGCTGTCTTTGTTGTTGATGATGTGGATGTTACGGATGTTGTTGGAGTTGTGGATGAAGAATTTGTTGTTGAGGATGATGTAGATTCTTCAGATGTTGAGAATGATTTGGTAGTTTTAGATGCTGTAGATGCTATGGCAGTTGTGGATGATTTTGACATGGACACTGTGGATGCTGTAATTGTTGTTGGGAATGTTGTTGATTCTAATGATGCTGAGGGTGCTGTTGTAGATGTTGGTTCTAAGGATGTTGTGAATGTTGAAGAATCTGTAGATGCGATGGAAGATGTAGTTGTGGAAGCTATAGATGTTGTAGATACTGCGGATGATGTTAATGTTGTAGATGATGAGGACATTGTAGATTCTTCTGATGAAGTTGACGTTTCAGAAGCTGTGGATGTACAATATGTTGTAGATGATTTTGCTGTTGAAGATGTTATAGATGCTGAGGACGTTGTAGATGCTATGGACGTTGTGGGTGCTTCAGTGGTTGGGGTACATGAACATCCACTACATGGACCAGATTGAGATGGTATTGTGACAGAGGACAGGTTTCCTAGACACCAAAAAATTATTTTTTTAGGTTAAAGATATCAGTGTAAAATCTCTACATACAGAGAAACATATGATCAACACAACCAAAAACAAAAGTGAAAATGTACTGACAGAAAAAGTTAAAGAGAAATTGATAAGTAAATACTGGTAGTTATTTATAATTTAAAACATTTCAAAAAACAGTTGCATACATAATACTAGAATAAATAATACACTGGTCAATAAACAACAAATGGATGGAATAGAGTAAAACAGACTAGAATTTTAAAAAAACAAGAGGCCCAGGGGCCACAGCGTTCACCTGAGCACATCGGCTAAGAAAAAGCACATATCAGATCAGAACTAAAAGTTTACTAATGGATGAATTTTAACCTCCCGAGGGTTCATGATTTGAACAAACTAGAATCTACACTACATGAGGATGATTCCATATGATAATCACTAATCATGGCTTTGAATACTTGAAAAGAAGATTTTAAAAGGTTTCCCTATATATTCCTATGTAAAACTTGGGTCGGCCATTTTGGCCCCACCCTAGCCCCTGGGGTCATGATTTGAACAAACTTGAATCTACACTACCTGAGGGTAAGTTTACATGAGTTTCATCGTTCCTGTCTCAATGGTTCTTAAGAAGATTTTTAAAGATTTTTCCTATATATTCCTATGTAAAACTTTGATCGGCCATTTTGGCCCCTTCCTTGCCCCGGGGGTCATGATTTTAACAAATTTGAATCTACACTACCTGAGGATGATTCCACATGAGTTTCATCTTTCCTGGCCCAGTGATTCTTGAGAAGAAGATATTTAAAGTTTTTTTTATATTTTCCTATGTAAAACTTGGGTCGGCCATTTTGGCCCCACCCTAGCTCAGGGGGTCATGATGTGAACAAACTTGAATCTACACTACCTTAGGATGATTCCACATTAGTTTCATCTTTCCTTGCCCGGTGGTTCTTGAGAAGATTTTTTAAAAATGCCATTAATTTTTCTCTAATTCATAATTATCTCCCTTTGGAAAAAAAGCGTGGCCCTTCATTTAAACAAACTTGAATCCCCTTCACCGAAGGATATTTTGTAGCAAGTTTGGTTGAAATTGACCCAGTGGTTCTTGAGAAGAAGATGAAAATGTGAAAAGTTTACGACGACGACTACAACGACGACAGACAACGGACAAATTTTGATCAGAAAAGCTCACTTGAGCCTTCGGCTCAGGTGAGCTAAAAACATGAAAGGCTTGGAGGAATGAGTAATAAATAATGCATTAAAAAGCTTATACATGTACTAGTATATATGTACTTGATAACAAGCAATAATTATCACAGCAGTTTAGACATGAGGTAAATGTTATGCTCCATCTTTCACAAGAAGGATTTCATTTTTCAGTCATTCATGACTCTCATCACTGTAACCAATTTTATCATTTGCAACTGAACAACATTCACTTTCATTGCATACAAACACAAAAAGCGGTAATTTCTAAATCCCCTGAACACCATCCAGTATCAATTTTCATTCCGGTGATAACGATGTTATCGTATTGCTAGTTTTCTTTGACTTGATTGCAACCACAATTATTATTGCAATGAGAACTATTGCTAGAACAGAGGGGATAATTATTGCCGTGTATAGAACAGCCGAGTTATTGTCATTGGAGTTGGATCCTGTATAACTTTGATTTCCTGCTGATGTTCTAGATATCTTGGATGGTACAGGTTCAGTGGAAGACATAGATTCTGTGGATGCTGTTGTTGTTGATGTGGTTGTTGTGGATGATGAGGTTGTTGATGATGTCGCTGTAGTTGATGATGTAGTTGATGATGTGGTGGTTGTAATGTCGTTGTCGTTGTTGATGCTTCGGATGACGTAGATAATACGGTCGTTGTGGATGCTTCAGTCGTTGGGGTACATGAACATCCGCTACACGGACCAGATTGAGCTGGTATTGGGACCGAGGACGGACTTCCTAAACATTAAAAAATTGTCATTTTATTAGGCCTATTACATTTGGGTTTTTTTTTTCTACAAGGAGTGTCTCCATGGTTACCAAATTTCTTATGCGGTCGTCATGACGACCGTCTTTCGATACTGTATATTCAGAAAACAGTAAACAGTAGTAATAATCCATCTTGCATCATTCCAGGAAAATAAAGATGCTGATTTTAATTTCTCGTGGACATTTTTCCTGGAGATGTCGTCCCTTTGTACTAATAAATATTCTGCCCTTTGATTGCACCATACAGTTAATTAATATATTAAAGTTGTGTTTTAGAAATTGATTAAAACACATTAAGTTTATAAAGCGAGTAGAATTTTTTGCAAGCTTTTAGTTCAAATACACAATGCGTTAATAAGACGGCAAAACGATCAAAATTTAATTTTTACATCTATGCTGTGAATTCTTTTTCCGTTAGTACATGTACATATTTATTAAGCACGAAATAAAGCTTTGGAATACTCAGGATACAAAACATGCAAAGCGCTCCCCTCTATTTTTCTATACTTACCACTTGTAACCATGGCTTTTCCCTGTGAAGTGTCCAGACTTAAATCCAACTTACAAACGTCACAGGCGCCTAAACTGCTGTCGTCACTGACGAATAAGCGTGTATTGGAGTCTACATCCTCTGATATAATTGAAATTCCATAAGCATGATACGGTCTTATATTCTTTTATATTTTACTTCACTCTAATTATTTTAATATTACCCGGTATATTATACATGTATTATATTATAGGATACATTGATCAGAATTCTAGACTTATAGAGTACAATTATCAAATGTATCAAGGTTTGACATTTGAATAAATTGAACAAGCTCTTCAAAATAAAAAAAGAAAATGTTTGTCAATATAAGTTTCTAGTATATCCACAAAATACAGTGTTTACTGTACATCACATCTAACCTGTCCTTAATAAATCACAATGCCTTTTTTTAAAGGCAATGTAATCTTCATTATCCGAATATACAGCTTTTTTTAATGATCTCATGTACATGTATAACATTCATAAAATTCGAGGTAATTTGTTAGAAGAATAAGAAAAACATTTTACCATCAGCCAAGAGATAATAAATTATCCTGTCTGCCTCTACGGAAACGGTCCACATGCACACATACACATGCTTTGTTTGTGGTGGAAAAGGAGGAAGAAAAAATTGATAACTGGACCTAAAAATGCATAATCATTGGTATTATTTACACTCAATAATTTCACACTGCTTGAAAGATTTTCACTGGCATCATTCATATTTTAGAATAAAAAGTAAATTCTTAATAAATCCTTCGCGAAGATTCACTGATAAAATATTCATTAACTGAAAAGGGACATTTGTATTCATTCTTAAATTTAATTTCTAGTATTCATTTTCATTCTTTTTATTACTTTATGATAATTCCTTCTCACAAATTTCCAAATCACGAAAACAAGATGTCCATTTAAAAAGATAAAAAAGACTTAGTATAATGCCGTCAACGGAGAAACGTCTTTCAAGTCTTTTGAGTTTGGAATTAAATCACGCAATAGGAAACCTTTAGCCTATAATTTACAATTCACCCTTACGTCGCGCGTTCGAATCCCTCTTTGGGACGTGGTGACCAGACCATTTCAGAGGTGGAACCGTAGAAATCGCCGTAGGTGCTGGCACGAAAAAGATCCCTCACTGCTCAGTAGCTCTGAGTGCCAAGTAAAGGACGCAATTTGCAGCTCTCCACCGACAAGTGGCGGGGTCTCCATATTTATAAGTGAAAAATTCTAGAGAAGGACTTTAAACGACACACAAATAAACAAACAAGCACTTGTGTATTTCTTACTTGAATACAATGAGGTTATTCTGGTTAAACAGGCAAGTCCAGCTACTTATTGTCTCAGCTCCAAATGTTACAGTCCACCCCGACAAGTCACTTCCGCTAAAAGTTATAGGACGTCCTTTATCCGAATCTTCCCAAGTTTTTCCCTCCAAAATTGCGGGAAATGTACAAGTATCTATAGAATTTTTATTTTAATAAAATGAATATATATTTTGTTGGATGTAGAGAAAATGTTTTTAATTTTTAGGTAACAACAAGAAGCAAACAAATAAAATATGAACACATCATCCTATTTATTTCAACCCCCCCCCCCCCCAAAAAAAAAAAGTAAAAAAAAAATTGATATTAAAGAGAATTGTTCAAGAATGTATGATAATGTTTTAAGAAGACTTTTCAAACATTCAAAAGCGCGTAAAATAATTTAAGAAATAGCTTATAAGAGACAAACTTTAATTTTAAGAATTTTTCATTGAAGAGAAAATCGTCTTAAAACATTTATTGAATTTATTTCACGATAATTTTGTTCACTAAATTTTTAGGTGAAGAATTTTAAAGAAATATAATTTTTTTAATGTATTGTTTCTTTTATTTCTTTTTTTAATCAAGACCACATTAAACTGCTACCCCACCCTCCGAATGTACCAAGTTTTGCTGTTTTTGAATAACTCACCAACGTTGGATATAATAACATTCCACAATATCAGCACGGTTACATCTTTTCTGTTCATTTTGGACATACCACTATATAAAGAAGATCATAAAATTCAAATTGAAATTGTATATAAATCAACTTCTCTTGGGATTTACCGGTTGGCTTGTATCGCGAAGTAAACTCCTTTAAACTAATTATATAGCTTTATTTCCAATAAAGTTAAAGAAGAAAATGGGTAACATGTCAGTGAATTTTCATAAATAAGGCTTCTAACTGGATGAATTTTAAGCGACTAAGTTCGACATCATTTCTCGATTTTGTAACTTTTTTAATTTCCATTTTTTCGGGATTTAAATGGATTAAAACTGTGAATGGCGAATTCAATGATCTAGCTTCGTTGATGCCACGATTACCTTTACTAGTCTTCTATATAAAAGATGCCGTTTAAAAAATGAATATGGGATATTTTGTTTGCAAAAAATGAATTTTAATTTACAAAATTCGAAGAAAAAATAATTCATCCACATGAATATACCGTTCACGATTTTATCACATGAAATTAAAGGCAACAAGTCTTTTCAGCATTTTATTCATTGCCCTTTTGTACTGTATTTTGAAACGATTTTTTAAATTCCAAAATACAGAGTTAATGAATTTGATTAAGTCTCCTTGTATAACTCCCTAATGATAAGAATAATAATAATAATAATAATAATAGTAATTCTACTTGCATACCCCTCCCCCAAGAAAACGGAAATGGCATAAGAATGAATTGAAGTTTACGCCCATTGAACCTTGACAGAGACATATATTACATATATATATATATACGTTTTCTATTCCTTCCTTTTTTTTTTTTTTTTTTTTTTTACATTAAATTGATATTCTTTACTAATTACTAATTAAATGCAAATACGTTACCAACCTGGGTGTTCAAGGCCCTGTGTCGTTGGCTTCAAAGTCCTTACATAGGGGCTTTAATTGTAACGTCACATTAGGACACCCAAGTCAAAAAGCTTTTCAGCAAGTGTTAAGTTTCACCACATTTGCATTGTGAGAAGTGTCATGAAAGTTTTTTCGATTTTGGTGGTATAACAGATCATTTTTAGGAAGATTGAAAAAATGGAGAGAACTGTGCACGTTTTTTGTATTCTGGAATACAATACCAGTATACCCGTGACGTAAACTTTAAGACTCAATACACGAGCTTTAAATGCGGAATACAAGACATCACAATATCTTTGCAAATTCGAGGGCCAATTAATGCATAAATTAGCAATTAGTTTTAGAGCTTTTTGACCCGGAACTTTGATTTAGTATCAGTAAATGCAAACTCTGCGCTCTTCATTTCACAAAATAAAATAATCATCCATGTAATGAAATTCAAGAGACAAGATATGAATGTTATTAATATTTAATGTGATTTTATGACAGGATTGAATATTGACAACAATAGGGGGCGTAAGTCGAGAAAAGTAAAGGGATTTGATTAAAGGGCATGGTTAGAAAAGTTTTGCATTTCAACCAAAAAAGTAAAACGAAACGGTACTTGATAACCACCCAGAAAATATCTGTAAATTATGTGAATAACTGAATATCATTTTTTTTTATTTACACCACACCTCAAATTATTTGTTCTATTTTACCTGTAGATGATAAAAAACAGTTAACAGAGCTTATTTACGTTTACTCCAGCATGCTAGAGGTTCATGACATGACTTGGCCCCGTGTAGAAGTAATTTACGGTAATACCATACACTATCAGCAAATGTAACCCGCGGAAAACCAAGTGGGACAGACTGACACACAGACCAATGGATAGCTAGACCGACAAAGGGGCAGCTAAACAGACATTCGTACAGAAGAGGATCGAGAAAACCAATAGTCCCCTTTGGTTTCTGCGTGGGTTTTTTTGTTCGGCATCATTTTTTAGTCCAATTTCATGAATTTTGATCAAGAACAAGGAATTCTCTCAAAGAATTGTGAAACTATGTCACAAGAAATGTTTGTTTGTATTTTGTTTAACGTCCCTCTCGAGAATTTTTCACTCATAATGGAGACGCCTGTTGAGAGCTACAAATTTTGTCCTTTACTCGGCACTGAGAGCTATTGAGCAGGGAGGGATCTTTTCGTGCCATCACCTTATGCAACACGGGACCTCGGTTTAAACGGTCTCATACGAAGGACCTGTCTCCACGTCCCACAATGGGATCATAGTTCAAACCCGCGACGTAAGGATCAACTCGATCCTTACTTCGCGACTCTTGAGCAAACGCTCAAACCACTGCGCAACGCAGGCGACGTCATAAGAAATGAAAGTTGTTCAGAATTTTTAAAAATAAGGCTTGGAGACTTTTTTTGTTTAAATTCCTTCTCAAGGATTTTTTTCCTGGTTATGTTGTTTCAAAATGATATTGCTTCCTACCTGGTTTCTGTCATGATTCAGCAAAAGATCAATATTATAGGGTTAATGAACTTATATCGGTGAATATTGGCACAAGTTGGCTGTCCAAATGCACGCGCTTTATTAGTACCTTTATTATATCATAGTTAAATATTTTCTGTCATTTTGTAAAACAATCAAAATGGACGATTTCTTGTATTTCGACTTTTGAAGTTTTATTGGAACTGTATGTAATATATTTGTTTACTAGTATATAGCTAAATCATTTTCCCATGATTTATAATAATTATTCCAACTAAAAAAAACTAAAATTAATGATTTTCTTAGTATAGGTATTCAAATTAACGCATGCCCTGTAAATGTTCAATATCGCATCATTCCAATGACCCTACCAAGCGTCATAATCTGCTTATTTATTGCATTTAGTGGGGCTCACTTAGAGCCTCTTTTGGCCTTAAGAATTTCTGAAAAATCAAAACTGCTCAGTTTAGGTTGAAAATACAGTATTTATCACTTGGACTGTTGCTGACTATTGATCATGACGTAATCTTCCCTCTAGTCAATGTTTTATGACGTCATAAAAAGTATATCCTTTAAATTCCTTTAAAAATGGCCTAAATTTGAAGTATTTTTTCACTATTTCTGTATTTCATATAGAGCATAACCTCTGATCCAAAAATGCGATTACAAAATGAATGATCTGTTTCTGAAGATCAAAAAACATGTTTTAATTTTTGGTTCGTCTCATGATATTTTAATTCGTTGCTGTTCAAAGATAGGCCTAGTAAATATACGCTTGTTTTCTGCAAAAATTCAAGAACATTTAGATTTTCTCAAAGCCTGATTTCCAATACATAGATTCTCAAAAGAAAATTTATTATAGGAGATGAAAATACTAAGTCTCGACTCTCTTTTGATACACAGGTAACTCTTGATGGCTCGATCGCTCGAAGTGAGTCTCCGGTCCAAATGAAATAGGAAGGAGGGTGACACTTCATTAATTGATAATTTTATAAGCTAGGACGGGGTCATTTTATGCATAAAGTGAACCTAGCTCTTTTTAATTTAAAATTCCATATTTGTGTGAAAAAAAAAAATCTTACCTAGTTGCCACTGCCTATCTTAAAATTGTCTTTGAAAGATTGACGATTGACAGACGACATTTTCTTGTTTACAACGGGGCGTTCGATATTGAACGCTCGTATTCGGAATGTCTCGGGCATACTCATGTACGTTTCTATTTTCAAACTCAGAGTTCAATAATAGGCCAAGATATTGAACGCTCAAATTCTCTAGATTTTTAGTAGTTTTTTTTCATTAGAGACTATTTATTAGCTATATAATAAACAAATATATTACATAGAGTACCAAAAGGTCACGGAAACTCATAATATGATGTCCATCTACCTCAACTTACTCGATTTCATGATTTTTGCTGTACTTCATTAATGAACATCAACGTGAACCCTTTATTCCTTAATCCTAGAGATTGATATTTATAAAAGGTGCAAACGGGCGATAAAACTTCTTCAAACATACACGAAATGAAATTTAGCGAGCAGCGAGTCTTCTAAAGAAAATAAAGTTCGTGTTAATATGTAATTTACACTATTTTGAGAGAGATTTATCAACAGTATCAATAAAAAAAATTCTGTCATTTTGTAAAACAATAATAATGGACGATTTCTTGTATTTCGACTTTTGGTGCGTTAAGAGCTACAGAATTAACTGTAGCATTATGTTTTACAAGCGAAAACTGGCTTTATTTGAATTCTCCGAGGGATTGCAGAAAATTTTAATTCAAGCGAGTTTATCGCGTGTAGAGACGACTATAAAGGCTTGGGAGGTGTATAAAATATACAGATTTATTTAAAAGTGTGTTTAGAGTTATGGAGAGAAAGGTAGATGATTTATCAATGTTGGAATTTGAAGAAATTCTCCCAAACAGTGCGCAAAAAAAATCTTGCGCCGGGAACTGTAGCGTTATAGTTAAAGACAAATATATAAAACCATAACGCTACAGTTCTGCAGCTAGTGCGTTAAAAGGGTAAATACGTTTAATTGTGAAGTAAAAAATAAAATGAAATTTTTAAAAACGTTTTCTGAAACACTGATACCCACCATCCCATATGTCAGCTTGATGGTTAAGGTTTCTCAACTGCAAGTCAAAAGATAAACAAAATTGTTACCCAAAAGAAAGGACTTGTCTTAAAGAATATACCTGTGGAATATTAAAGGCCAAGTTCTAACTGTTCAAAGTTTTGATAGAAAAAAAAATTATGAAATCTTTTTTAATAATTGGTTAAACTCCAGGTCAAGGTCAAAGGGTAAAAAAGTAAATGGTGCCCACATAAAAATAGTGTCACAAGAAATTCACATTTGAATATAGTTTAAGCCTTGCACCAACTGTTCAAATGTGATTACCAAGGTTAAAGTTTTGTTTTTTTTTTGAAAAAGTAGATCAAATTCCAAGGTCAAGATCAAAAACTGTTGGTTTTCAAAGCAAGGCCATGACAAAAAGAATACAACTGTAAAACAAGATGTGTGTATGAGATAAAGCGCCTTAAGTGACATTAAATTTTAAACTCAAACTATTGTCAATACGAACTGCAATGAAAATAAACGTTTTTTTTTTTACTAAATCTATTTGCTTCTTATACAATTCTTATAATTCACAAATGATAACATTTTGTAAGCGTTCTCATTTTGTATATTTTATTTGATTCAGTGCAAAGGCCTTTGGGTTGGTTCAACCCGACTTGGGGTGATTCAGTGGAATCTGCGATAAAAGGGAGTAAACTAGCACTGAATTATCACAAAAAAATGTCTTCATCTCATATGATCATTGTATATATAACAACAGTAGTATGATGAGGGGCCGTCACAGTAGAGATTTTCTCTCCTCCAGTCTGGATAAGCAGAAAGTCAATACATCATTTATAACCAAATAAGAAAGAAACAAACAAACAAACAAATTCCCACTGAATTACATCGGTAAGAGTTCACTGTAAAAAAATAGCTATTTGATGTCACGAAGAAAACTAGTAGATTCACTATCCATACAATCACTACCTTAATAGTAGGTTTACCAGATATTGGTATATTTACTAGATACGATTAGTATAAATTTAGAATTGATGAGTATCTTTTTCTTTTGTCTGTCAAATTGGAGATTCAAAATGTAACATATATTATGAAACACCCTGTATCTAAGTATCTATACGACCCCCGCTCCACAACTCACTATCTTAACCAGTAAACTGAAAGTTTACTAATCACGTGTAGTGGGTGGCGTGAAATTAGCCTTATTCAGAAGACAACTGACATCAGAAATGGAATAAAACACAGTAAAAACAAGACTTGATATACCATATTGTCAATGTGAAATGTATCTAGGCCTAACTGTGTCAAGAATAAGGAACACTGAAAGAAAAACCTAGTAAATTTAACTAGTGTGTTTCGTAAAGCGTTGGTCGCCTCTTCTTCGAACACCCTCGATTCCCAATTCACGCATCAACTTCTTCAAGAACAACTCCGGATAGAACTGCAGAAACAGATTACAGGCATACAGTCTCAGATACAAGGTATGATTGATTGATTGTATTTTGCTTAATGTCCCTCTCGAGAATTTTTCACTCAAATGGAGACGCCATCACTTTCCAGTGAAGAGCTGCAAATTTTGTCCTATGCTCGGCCCTCAGGGCCATTGAACAGGGAGGGTTCTTTTTCATGCCAGCAACTACTGCGGCACGGGGCCTCAGTTTATACGATCTCATCCAAAGGACCGGTGTCCACCTCCCACAGTGGGATTGGAACCGGCGACGTAGTGTAAGGATCAACTCCTTACTTCGCAAATCTAGAGCAGAAGCTCTAACAACTGCGCCTACATGTACATGTAGGTAAGTAAGAAAATTAAATGCATACATAAAAATATGCTTAGCAATAACTAGAGTTTACCCCCAACTTTTCTTTGCAGACCTGAGGACCAATGTCGTTACTTGTGAGAATAATTACCAGAATTCACAAACAAAATTTTCCGACCTGAATGCCAATCTGTCAATTTGTAAGAATTTTCTACATTTTATTAAATCTTGAAATTACATAATCTTAATTAGATAACACCTGTATATTATATTTGTTTTCTGGATTTCTACAAATAAAATTTATTCACAGCAAACAGATAGGAAGTAGCTTTCTTTGTGAGGCTGCGTAACAAAATAACCAATCACCACCAATCTACCATTATCGTCTTTGATATATTCACTGCTCCTGTCGATGGCATCTACAAATTTGACCTGGTGCTTTCAAGTGACGTAGAAAACGGTCACGGAGAAATGATGCACAATGGCGTCAGAGTCCTTGATGTGTATGCAGAAAAGCACAGCAGATATTTAGGTCGTGGAAGTGGTGCAATCATAGTGCTCATGAATAAAAGGGATAAAATGTGGATTCAGAATACAGATACCAGAAACACAGTCATCAATGCTGGAGTTGAAACAGCGTTCTCTGGTCATCTACTGTTTCTTGCATAAAATAAAAACCTTTTTAAAAAGTTTTTATTCTTTTTTATCATTAAAATTTCTTCAGAAGAGGAGTTTCTCGTATAAAAAAAATAACAAGATGCGTTTGTAAAACACTGCTGGCCATATAAAAATGCATGGCATAGTTAAGTCTGAGGCGCTGTTTTGGTATTTATTGCCAAAAAGTGATATCACCTATACGAAAAGGTTATAGAACTTATACAAATAGGTGATACAGGTGTATAACCTATTCGAATAAGTGATATCACCTATTCGAATAAGTGATATCACTTTTTCGAATTGGTGATATCACCTATTAAATTTGAATTGGTGATGTCACCTTTTCGAATAAGTTTTATCACCTATTTGTGTTTTTTACAATAATCAATAATGAATGTTGCCTAGACTATCTTTAGATTTCCACTGGAACCAAGAAAATTTTGACTGACCAGTTTTCACCAGTATATATGTAGTCCCAATATGCACACCTTGATAAGATACATTTTTCTCCAAGTCCAAAATGCACTTTTTATTAGTAAATAGTTTTCTTAAAGTTTGAAATATAAATTGCAGAAGTGGGTCAAACTCCAGGGTTAAGGTCAAGAGGTCACATATTTTGGTACCCGAAGAAAAAATATGTGCATATGAAATATGAGAACCAAATTAAGCTCCAACAATCAAAAGTCATGGGCAAGCTTAAAGCCTTCTGGACAAACAGACAGAAAAACAGGGCAAAATCAATGGAGGTACCCCGAATTTTCAATTACAAGTGCATATTTTTTTATACAAAAATAAAAAAAAACGCCATAAATCCCATTAAATTTAAGACTAATTTTTTCCAAATTATTGTCAATACGAACTGCAATGAAAATTAATATTAAAATTAACATTTTCTGAAATTAATATATATTTGTTTCTGGTACAATTCATGGAAAATAAGATTTTTAAGCGATCTCGATCATTTTGTTTATTTTATTTGATTCAGTGCAAAGGCCAAAGTCGGTTACCGGGTATATCAGACTTGGGGTGGTTCAGTGGAATCTGCGATAAAAGGGAGTCAACTCGCACTGAAATATCGCCAAAAAAATTCCTTATCTCATATGATCATATTCCAAAAGTATTATGATGTGGGGCCGTCACATTAAGAGATTTTCTTTCATCCAGTTTGGATAAGGCAGATGTCAAAGAGGACAAGATTATAAAACCTAACAAATAAAAAAAAAAAAAGAAAAAAAAAAAAGAAAAAAAAGAAACAAACGAATTGCTACTGACTTACTATACTGTATATAAAGCAATGATATAAGAGTTCCTTATTCTTGACACAGTTAGGCCTTTGTTATCTGTAATTCTTCCACATGTATATAGATACACTCAATATTGCCAGTATGGTATACATATATCCGGTCTTACTTTTACTTTCTTGTTCGATTTCGGGCATCAGTTGTCTTCTGAATAAAGTCGATCCCACGCCGCCCACTACAGCCTCCTCTTCGAACACCCTCGATTCCCAGTTCACGCATCAACTCCTTCTTCAAGAGCAACAACTCCGGATAGAACTGCAGAAACAAATAACAGGCATCCAGTCTCAGATACAAGGTCTGTATGAAAATTAAGGGCATACATCAAAATATGCTAAGCAATAGCTAGAGTTTACCTCCAACTTTCCTTTTCAGACTTGAGGACAATGTCGTTACTTGCGAGAATAATTACCGAAATCTACAGACAAAATTTTCCGACCTGAATGCCAATCTGTCGACAATTTGTAAGAAAAAACATTTTTTAAAATCTTGAATATACTTTAATTTTAAATAGATAATACCTGCTTATTATATTTGTTTTCTTGATTCAACATCACAGCAAACAGACAGGAAGTAACTTTCTTTGTGAGGCTTCGTAACAAAATAACCAATCACCACCAATCTACCATTATCGTCTTTGATGACGTCCATCTGAATAAGGGGAACGCTTATGACGCAAATATAGGGACATTCACTGCTTCTGTCGATGGCATCTACAAATTTGACCTGGTGCTTTCAAGTGACGTAGAAAACGGTCACGGAGAAATGATGCACAATGGCGTCAGAGTCCTTGATGTGTATGCAGATAAGCACAGCAGATTTTATGGTCGTGGAAGTGGTGCAATCTTAGTGCTCATGAATAAAGGGGATAAAATGTGGATTCAAAATACGGACATTGGAAACACAATCATCAATGCTGGAGTTGAAACAGCATTCTCTGGTCATCTACTGTTTCTTGCATAAAAGAAATACCCTTTAAAAAGTTTTACTTTTCATTGGTAAAATTTCTTCAGAAGAGGAGTTGCTCGTATAAAAAATAACAAGATGTGTTTGTAAAACACCAGTCTGATGGTCATGGATATAAAAATGCATGGCATAGTTAAGTATGAGGCGCCGTTTGGTATTTACTGCCAAAAAATGATATCACCTATGCGAATAGGTGATTTCACTTATTCAAATAGGTGACATCACCTATTCGAATAAGTGATATCACTCATTCAAATTGAATAGGTGATATCACCTATTCGAATAGGTGATATCTATTATTCGTATAGGTGATATCACCTTTTCGAATAAGTGATATCACCTATTTGTATTTCTTACAACAATAAATAATGAATGTTCCCTAGACTATCTTAAGATATTTCCACTGGAACCAAGAAAATTTTAACTGCCCGGTTTTCACCAGTATATAGTCCCAATATGCACACCTTTATATGATGTATTTTTCCAAAATGCATTTTTTATTAGTAAATAGAGTTTCCTTAAAGTTTGAAATAAGAATTGCAAAAGTGGGTCAAACTCCAGGGTTAAGGTCAAGAGGTCACATATTTTGGTACCCAAAGAAAGAATGTGCATATAAAATATGAGAACCAAAGCTCCAACAATCAAAAGCCATGGGCAAGGTTAAAGTCTTCTGGACAAACAGGGGAAAATCAATAGAGTTACCCCGATTTGTTTATTACACGGGCATATTTTTTCTATAAAGATAAGAAAAACGCTTTAAATCACATTAAATTTTAAACTAAATTTTTCAAATTATTGTAAATACGAACTGCAATGAAAACTATAGAGTCTGCTTTGCAAGGCTGCAATAGCGTATGTCGCCCCGAACTGGACAAGACTTTCATTTTTTCATCACTAAATCAATACCCATTAGCTAAGCTTGGACAACCTTCAACTCGTATCAGTCCTTTCAGTACTTTGATTTAAAAATCAAAGTTAAAGAATTTTCACTTTTCCCCTGTTTCTATGGCAACTATTGACAATTTGCCATTTTTAAATGCAAATCGCACAATTACAGATACTAATCATTAAATAAATAAAGTTTCATGACGGATGTTCAAGGTACCAGAGAAAACACTTTCGGACAAAATTCGTCGCTTTTTGCAGGTTTCCATGGCAAAGGTAGACATTTTAAAACTGAACGTTCTCACTGCAAAACTCCAACCAGTGATCGTATTTTGAGGAAAGTTTCAGGAAGATTGTCACAGCCATCTCCGAGAAACAGCCAGTAGAACAAAAGCATGAGTACAGTGCAATACACAATGATACGTCCCCAGACTTCGTTCCAGGCGATATAATTAACATTTTCTTAAATAAATATACAGGGACCTCTATACTAAGTCCCTGATAAATGTTTATTTATTTCTGGTACATTATATAGAAAATAAGATTTTTAAGCGATCTCGATCATTTTGTATATTTTATTTGATTCAATGCAAAGGCCAAAGTCGGTTACTAGGTACTAGTATATTAGACTTAGGGTGATTCAGTGGAATCTGTGACAAAAGGGAGTAAACTCGCACTCCAATATCGCCAAAAAAATTCCTTATCTCATATGATCATTATATATATTCAAAAAGTAGTATGATGTGGGCCCGTCACATTTAGAGGCTTTCTTTCATCCATTTCGATGAGGTAGATGTTAAAGAGGACAAGATTATAAAACCAAACAAAAAGAAAGAAAGAAACAGATTGCTCCTGACTAACATTGATAAGAGTTCCTTATTCTTGACACAGTTAGGCTTTTGTTATCTGTAGTTCTTCCACATGTATATATAGATAGTTTAGATACACATAATTGCCAGTATGGTAAAACCAGTCTTGTTTTTACTGTTCCTGTTCTATTTCGGGCGTCAGTTGTCTTCTGAACAAGGTCGATCCCACGCCAACCACTACAACCTTCTCTTCGAACACCCTGGATTCCCAGTTCACGCTTCAACTTCTTCTTCAAGAACAACAACTCCGGATAGAACTGCAGAAACAGATAACAAGCATCCAGTCTCAGATACAAGGTATGAAAGAAAATTAAATGGATACATAAAAAGTACGCTGAGAAATTGCAGTAGTTATAGTTTACCTGCACCTTTCCTTTTCAGACTTGAGGACCAATGTCGTTACTTGTGAGAATAATTACAGAAATCTACAGACAAAATTGTCAGACTTGACGACCAATGTCGTTACTTCTGAGAATAATTACAGAAATCTACACACAAATTTTTCCGACCTGAATGCCAATCTGTCGACAATTTGTAAGAAAGTACACATGCCAAGAAAACCTTAGCAGTCTGTCCAGAGAGCGAACTCAATAAAAGCCGAATTAACGTTAATCTGTGAAACTCCCCAGAGGGATGTTTGCGAGGCAATTAATATCAGCAGTTTTGAGGGAGGGATCTTAAGTTTTACTGGGTTTAAAACATATGTACAAAACTAATTATTTGGAAACTTTTGTACCCCCTCTTTTTTTCTTTTCTTTTATTTTTTTTTGGGGGGGGGGGGGGGGGGGGGGGGGTTCATATTTATCAAATACTGTAAGAAAAAAAGTAAGTTAAAGAAAAACAAAATTATTAATTATAGTAAACTAATTTGTCAGTAGAAATAAGCTGTCTTTCAATTTTTTACGTAATTCCATATAGTTTTTTTTTCCTGAGCATAAATTAACGTCGGGTACGATGAACATGGTAGTTTTGGAAGTAGCGCGCGTCGAATTATGGGAAAAAGGGGTACCAAATTCCCGGAAGTTGACATCATTTCCTGGTTAAACAAGAGGGGAGAGGAGTACTAAATGGGTAGAGGTATCACACCGGTAATTAACCAATCAAAATGAACTTAGTCAAATGTAGGTCCATACATTTAAAATTGATTTTCCTTTCTTTTGAGACGTTTTTCTATTCTCTTCCAAGCCATTTTTACAACTTTGGTACCTGTGCCTATTAAATTTTATGTACTTTTTGAACAGATAAAAGTTTTCGACAGGAACTATTTTTTTTCCCGGGAATAGGAGGCTACTTCCTGTGGTACACTCGGAATGTTTATAGACACATTGAAAACATGCCAAGAAAACCTTAGCAGTCTGTCCAGAGAGCGAACTCAATAAAAGCCGAATTAACGTTAATCTGTGAAACTCCCCAGAGGGATGTTTGCGAGGCAATTAATATCAGCAGTTTTGAGGGAGGGATCTTAAGTTTTACTGGGTTTAAAACATATGTACAAAACTAATTATTTGGAAACTTTTGTACCCCCTCTTTTTTTCTTTTCTTTTATTTTTTTTTCGGGGGGGGGGGGGGGGTTCATATTTATCAAATACTGTAAGAAAAAAAGTAAGTTAAAGAAAAACAAAATTATTAATTATAGTAAACTAATTTGTCAGTAGAAATAAGCTGTCTTTCAATTTTTTACGTAATTCCATATAGTTTTTTTTTCCTGAGCATAAATTAACGTCGGGTACGATGAACATGGTAGTTTTGGAAGTAGCGCGCGTCGAATTATGGGAAAAAGGGGTACCAAATTCCCGGAAGTTGACATCATTTCCTGGTTAAACAAGAGGGGAGAGGAGTACTAAATGGGTAGAGGTATCACACCGGTAATTAACCAATCAAAATGAACTTAGTCAAATGTAGGTCCATACATTTAAAATTGATTTTCCTTTCTTTTGAGACGTTTTTCTATTCTCTTCCAAGCCATTTTTACAACTTTGGTACCTGTGCCTATTAAATTTTATGTACTTTTTGAACAGATAAAGGTTTTCGACAGGAACTATTTTTTTCCCGGGAATAGGAGGCTACTTCCTGTGGTACACTCGGAATGTTTATAGACACATTGAAAACACGTGGATTTGAGGGTAGCCCTGTTTACAGATAGAAAAAAGTCAGAAAATGCCGTGTAGGTACCGTTTTGTGTGTGAGAGTGTGTCAGCTAGTGTGACAGGTAATGTTTAACACCTCCTGCTAGATATTTTTTCAAGTAAACAACTACCAATTTTTTTTAAAGACTTTTTATTCTATATGGAAATTTACAGTCAAAACAATTACCCGTGTGACGCAACCTGATTGGCTATGTTAATATTTTCATTTTAATGTAAAAATATCACTGATAAAAATAAATGGTGGAATATATCAAGTTTATTTTCTTTAACTAAGAAAGCTGAAAACCTATGATCCCCCCCCCCCCCTAAAATCGAAATCTGCTGCCGTAAATTGTCTTGCTAGCGTTTGGGGAATATGGGTGATTTGCATCAATTACACTTTTATTGACTTCCACAGTGCGTAAACCGGACGAGATTTCTTGGCATGTTTTTTAAAATCTTCAATATATTTGAATTTTAAATAATTAACACTTGCATAGTGCACATATGTTTTCTTGATTTCTACAAATGAAATTTATTCACAGCAAACAGACAGGAAGTAGCTTTCTTTGTGAGGCTTCGTAACAAGATAACCAATCACCACCAATCTACCATTATCGTCTTTGATGACATCCAACTGAACAAAGGAAATGCTTATGATGCAAATATAGGGACATTTACTGCTCCTGGCGATGGCATCTACAAATTTGATCTGGTGCTCTCAAGTGACGTAGAAAACGGTCACGGAGAAATGATGCACAATGGCGTCAGAGTCCTTGCATGGTGTGTATGCAAATAACCACAGCCCGAGCTATTTGGGGTCGTGGAAGTGGTGCAATCATAGAGCTCATGAATAATGGGAAAAAATGTGGATTCAGAATACAGATACTGGAAACACAGTCATTAGTCCTGGAGTTTTTAGGGCATTCTCTGGTCATCTACTGTTTTTTACTTTTTGTTGTTAAAAACTCTCCATAGGAGGAGTTGTTAAAAAAATGTGAAACATTGACACCCACGTATGGCAGCTAACGGAAAAAAAATGTTTCAAATATAGTCAACCCCTAAAATTAGGCTAAAAAGATAAAAAAAATGTTGATACCCAACAGAGGGACTTGTC